CACCTTCTCCACCTTTCACTTCTGGATGTCTTTGTCAAGTAAACAAGCGCAATCTGCCTCTCTTCAAGTTATCTCCTTTCCTACTTCCCCCTGCTTTATACTCTCTTCTCCTTCATCAAATCATTCTCACCCTGAAAATCTTGCCTTCTCTCCAGCTCCAATCCCACATGTTCCCAATACCACATCCTTTCCCCATCTGTTTCCCTCCTATGCTTGATGTTTAAGCATTTGGAAAATGTTATTTATTTAAAAAAACCCAAAAAACAGTACTAAACCCCATATTTTTCCCTCTCATTATTACCTTGTCTCCTCTCCGTTCAACCCGTTCAGCTCTCAAACTAGGCATGCAGACTGGAGTTTCAGCTCTGGCTCTCTTTTCCTTTGTCACTACTTCAACTACCACTGCTAAATTTGACCGTTTTTCCTGCTTAACATTCTTTACTATTTGACTTTCCTGTGTGGACCTACTGCTATGATCCATATCAATGTTCTTGTCATATTTTTTCTATATTATGTGACTCTTATTCATGCTGCTACCACTGCCCTAAGATTAAATCAGCCCCTACAGAAATTTAAGATAATGTTTGATTTAATCCTGTTTCTATTGACATTACCTCTCATTGTACAGGTTTGTATGACATGGCCAGCTCATCTCAATTTAGTTAACTCCTGATGAGTACAGTGCATGCCAGGTATTTGACCCCAAGGAGAGGTTGTTGTATTATGCAAACCCACTCACTAAGGGTTATTTGACAACTAAACAATCCTTGCATAATCTGTACAACAAACCTGCTTAACTCTCAGACAACCCTTGATCAGATTCACATGATTTGAGAGATTCCCAAATCGGGGCTGGATATTTCAGAAGTTACCCATATATATCCAACATGTGCCATGGCTCATTGTGGGTTAAATAATTCCTGAAGAGGCTGCTGTGTTATGTGAACCAGGTCATTGCCTTTAGTAAGATTATGTTTCTCATCAGCCTTAGATCTCTGCACTTTCCACCTCAATTGCAAGCTCCCAGTCCTCACCTGTAAAGCTCTTTACCTATGACTATGGAGTTAAAGTTGGGACCTTTTTCAAAATCTTGAGCAGTTGTCCAATCTTACATGATCTGATTGTTGCATTCTTAAAATGGCATTGGTTTTTCCCCTGCCAAACTGGTTCAATTGCAGAATGTGGTAATGTGTCAGCTACTAAATGCATTCAGCACTGCTAACTTCTAAACCACATAGCACTAAATAAACTGTGTTGTGCCATCAATGCAGTAAGGTATTGAGGTAAACTGTACATCTGTACAGCTGTATAATAGAAATAATTCTTTGCGTTACACTGACATTGACAGTGAATACCTTGTGGACTTTAAAACAATTTTAAACTGCATCTTTAACACACTGAACATTTTTTTAAAAGTTAATTCTACAAAATGTCTAATATAGGTAATGGTAGGTTTTAAAAAGCCAATTCCATTTATTTGTAATATATTTTAATGCAAGATTCTGATGAGGCATAACATATACAGAATGTGCAGAATGTGGTCCTTTAACTAAGAAAGTATTAGTATACTTCCTGCTAGCCAACAGCCAGTCTTTGTTCAGTTACAGCAATTCGAATTTTTCTGCATAAGACAGTGAACTTCCATAGAAGTATCTCTTTTCCTTATTTCAGCTGTTAGTGAAATGCCTATTGAACTAATTCTTACTGTACTCTTGTTAAAGTGAAAAGTATAAATAAAGTTCTATTACATGAACATTTTATTCCATGACATTAAGGTTAAAAAACATAAAGCATAATTGTTTTCTCACACAGGAGTATCTACAGCAAGAGAATTTCTTTCAGCAAAAGATGCCACTGTTACTAAAGCAAGTCAGCATCGAGTCAACAGGATGAAGAACGTGCATTTCTTTACATATGTTATAGCTATTTGCATGATGAATATTGATCATTAACTCAATACTTTGTTTCACTTTGAAGTGAAATGATCTGGTTCAAATTTAAGTTGCATGGACAATGTTTTCCTCAGTATTTCAGCCTTGTACGATATTTCCAGATTTTGTAGTTAAAATTAATAAATTAGACCTTTCATAACTAACGGCATGCCAGACTCCACTTTTATTGCAAAGAAATAACACTACGTTGTTCGTAATGTTATGCTTAAAAGGAGGGGAAATGCACTGAAATTATCAAACTTTCCTAAAAGGATGGTTTTTGGGGTTTACAAATGGCTTTCAAAGACATTTTCCCTGTGCACACGGGCAGTTTGTTCAAGAGAGAAGAAAATGTTCTGGATTGGAGTGTAGAAAGAGCAGAAAAAAACACTTTTCAAAAATTAACCTCTTTAATTAGACAAGTTACAAAATGGTGATCTTAGAACAAAGAGGCAGTAAAACAACTACTCTTTCATGGTTCTGTCATATTCCATCCACAAGTTGATGACATTCTCACCATATAGTCAAAGATAATAAGCTTATAAAATATTTGATCCTGCTAGCTCCATAATGATTCATAAAAGAATTTAATTTGTGGCCCTGTTCTCTCATTATATGGAGGTCCACTACTGGGATATATAAAGGATGCAGAGGTGCTTTGCTATGCTTCACATATAAATCCCAGCCAAGAGTGAACATATACACTAAAGTCTGATATTCATCTGTATGACAAGCTTCTCCATGTTGAGGGAGGCATGAAACTCAGTGTTTCTCTCAGCTGGAGAAAGGCAAAATGGGGGCGAGGGGGAGAATGACATCAGTGAATATGATCATACCCAGACATCAGCAGCCCATTCTGGGCCCACTGGGAACCAGTTCAGCCTCCTACTGTAGGATGTATCTTCCACTCTTGATCTATAGCCATATTCCAGAGCGTTTCTTCTTTAACCCATTAGATCTCATAGGCATTTTCTAACATTACATTTTACAGAACAAAGCAGCCCATATACAACTGAAGGCATGCTTCTTTTAAGGGTAAACGTGAGTAAAAGTCAAACATTTTCCCAGTTTCTGAGTAAATAATAGCTACTGTACCTTCGTGCAGTTCCAGTTCTCACTTTTGGTACCAAGAAGTTTGCATTTAAAACATTACAAGAAAGTTTTACTTTAGTTGGGGAAGGTCTGTACTACGTACTCCATGCAATGGACAAAAGCACACCAGGCATTTATTGTGCACTTGTGTCCCCCACTCTCAGAAATCTGCAGGCCCTTTTCATGATCTTTCAGGGTCTCTCATGGGTATTCTGGAAATTTATGGAACTTTTTTGAGAGCTAGGAAAGTCAGCTACTTTCTAGATGTTACTGTTCATTGCTACAGAAACGTAGTACACTTTTGCAGTTCCACTATATGCCATAGCACAACCATCTCGTGCTGTCTAATTGAACTGATAAGAAACTATAAAAAGGCAGAGAGAAGGAAAACCACCAGAAAAAATGGATACTATAATCCTCAACTAAGAAAGCAGAAATAGTAGTCTTGGTTAAGCACTCCTGTAGTCAGGTCCTAGGTCTTCAGAGATTTTGGACTTCAACCCCTAGCTTTCCTGAGAAATGCTCATGCTTGATCTGGACCTGTCTTTGAAGACCCCATGGAGTCATCAGCTGATACAGATTGAAGGCACCCAGTCAAATAACTGATTCTACAGCAACTTTATTGGTTGCCTCTGCATTTCAGGGCCTAACAAAGTGATGCTGATATCTCGAAAATGCTTATTGGTTTGGACTTGGATATTTAAGGGATCTCCTACACCTATATGAACTGCCTTGGCTCAAAGAATAGCTCCAGTGGTCCGGCTTATGGTCCCATGGATAGGGTCTACCAGATTGATGGCCCTTTCAGTGAGAGGCTCATCACTGTGGAACTTCCTTCCACAGGAGGTATGTTTGGCTTCCTCATTTGCTTTTAAATGAGTTTTAAAGATGTGGCTGTTCACATCTGTTCTTAATTGGACAAAGCTGCTGATTTTGAAGCCACACTTTTAATATTGACAGTTGTTTATTGTTGAAGTGCAATGTGTTTAGGGGTCAGTATTTATTTATTTCTATTTATTCAAAATGATTTAAAGACCACCTTTATTTATATATTGATTTACATTTCTGTACCACTCAATAGCCAAAATTCCCTGGGCAATTCAAGTTTTTAAAGGTGGATCCTTCCCAACATATCATTAATTGTATTTTATGTTTTAACTTGTTCTAAGAGCTTATCTTTAAAACACACTGAAAGGGCTTTTAGGCTAGAAAGGCACTATAACAATATCTAATTTCATACAAATATTATGTTTGATATTCCATTCCATTTTTTAGTAAAACTATGAATTTACTATGTAAAAGCATATTGTGCCATAAAACTAATGGTACTGAAGAAGTCTATGCTGCTAAAACAAATGGCAAATCAGAGACTTTCACCACCACCCCAGTTTAAGAGAGCTAGCCTGTTGAGTTTAAATTGACTTTTGGAGAGTTCCGCTGTTTAGAGCTCATGACATCAATATTTCTTATAAATATAAAAGAAATTGACACATAAGTTACCCACCTAGAGAGAAATCTGCAGGCTTGTCTGACATGCATGTATACATGGGCATAGTATAAGCACTTGATGACAAATAACCTGTTTCCTGATGTATGGGTTGCACAGACTTCATGCCCGTGAAACAGGTTTGTCCTCCAGGAAGAAAAATACCCTTTAAAATCAGCCAATATTCCCAAAGTCCACTTTCCTTAGTCCCATATCATTCAAAGCCTAATGCAGAACTGACATGGTTTCCTTCCAATCATCTGAACATGAAAGAGGAAAATTAAGGAGAGGCTTGAACCTATGGAAGGAATAAAAGCACTGCCATTCACAATAATAGCCCTGTTTAAGGCATTCTGAAACCTGAGACTGTTTTAAAGACTGGCCTGTTCCAGACTGTTTAAAGTTAAGATTGTACATGAACTGATAAATGACTCTTTTGAGAGTAACATGAAAACAGCATAGTCAGCAAAAGACTGTAAACCTAAACATACCTGAATTGGAGTCAAACTTTGTTTCTGATCTAAAACAAAGAAGAGGAGAGAGAAAATCCTTTAATTGTAAAGAATTGTTTATGTCACAGGACCAAACTATAAGCATATGTCTCTATGTTAATGTACCTTGTCTGAAAACACATATGATCCTAAATGTACTTTCAGTATACTTCTACATTGGCTACTGTTATCAATAATCATTTTAATTTAGAAGACTGAAAACAAATCAGAATATTCCAAAATAGTCAGAAAAGGAGACAGTGTCAGAATAACAAAAACACATTCCTATGATGCATCATTTTTCTTTAATTTGCAAACATGTATTATAAATAACTTTTCTATTTTATATTTATGAGGAGCATTTCTTTGCACATCATCATCAGTTTGTCCTATCTTCCTCTCCCCACCTCCCTACCCTCCAAAAGAAATGATAGTTTGTTTTAAGGAGGTTTGAAATCCAACCTTCTTGTGAATTCTCATTGAACAAAGGAACACTACATGTGAAACCTACTGCCTAGTGTTGCCTGTTTAATGTGGTGTTTTAAGTGTTTAGCATATTACCAGTGAAACTCAATAGGCTGTACATTTAATAATGAGGATGAGGGAGAAAGAGGGGCAAAATTCGCCTTTGTGGGAACATCATGTTTCAGATATAAGTTAATAATAGTTCTAAACTCAGAAGCCTTTGAAGCTCTCAATTCAGCTGTGGGAAAACGTAAGTTGGGTAATTACTTTCGAGATGTAGCTGAAGTGCTGTCAAGCAGAATTAACACTATGACTAGGCCTATCTGAACAAAACAGCTATAAGAAGCATTGTCTAGGTTTAACTCTCAAACCAATTAGTGGGCATGCTCCAGCCAGATTTATATCACAAATTAACCATCAGTGGTGTGTGTGTGAGTGTGTACGCATATATTATATATATTCACAGCTGCCTCCGCAGGATACAAGAAAGGATCAGCAGGCGTCTTAATAAAAGAGGTTACTCTTTAATGATATTTTTCTAGTGATTTTTCTAATGATGTACCAAACCTACATAGGCAGTAGCCTAATCTTTGAATCCCAGAGAAGATACTTGTATACTGTAGGAAGTAATACACACTTGCATATTAACTCATATTACAAACTGCTGCGTGAAGCAGAAAAATAATATTTGTATAAAGTAAGACTTTTACAGAATTTCAATTAATTTCATGTTCATAGGAATGTGTCATTAGATGGCCAAGAAAATGGGGGCAGGGAACAGGCAGAAGAGAATAAATAGAAAATGGCCTCTTTGTTTTGAAACCAGGGTGTGTGTGTGCTCATGCGCATGCATGCCAGTATGTGTGTGTGCATTCAAGAGGAGCTGTCAATACAATCAAAAAGTAGAATTGGTGGGTGGCAAAGCAAACATTATTCAACCAGAAGTATACTCCACTAGTGCTGGACAGTGTATCAGCAGTACTAATTGAAGAATTCAATCCATATTACAAATGAGCTGCCATCCAAAGCTGCAGATGGATGGGTAAGTTTTACAGAGCCAGTGGGGCTGTCACATGGCCAGAAATTTCACACATACCCGGGGCGGAGTGGCGGGGGCAGCTGAATACAACTAGTGTGCTAGGTTTTGAAGACTGTGTCAGCCATTCTGCTGTTAAGTCTCTTTCCTCTGGGCACATTCCACCAGGAAGTTCTCCTGTAAAGCCCCAGTGAAAACCAATGTTCTAGCCTATTTCTTAAGCAAGGTAGTCAAGTTAATTTATATCATTTCCCAATTGTACATCAGATACTTCCTACAGAAAATAAGCGTACCAATTACTCCAATGGTTAATGCATGCTGACCGACAACTTAATAGCAGAATATACTTTTAACCATACTTAAGGTCTATCAGACTGCTATGTGGGCCATTAAGCATATCCCACAAAACAGCCCACAAATGCAATTAATGGAATGACTGCCCATAAGGGGAGGCAGTTGGTGGCAAGAAAATTTCTTGTAAAAGGAGCAGTGCAAGGGGAACGAAGGTTAAAGAAGATGCAAAAGGCAACTGGATGGTGCCTATCATCTCGCAGATAAATCTGTGACAACATTGCATGGGTGTTACAGAACTATAGACAGATCCTATTATTTATTTAATACAGCTATGTTAACTTACATTAGTACATTTACTTGGAATTACAGACAAGCAGTTTGCTTCTATTCAGAGACAAGGGAATAAAAATTAATGTGAGTGTTGCTGTAGATGGAATAAAGAAGCTGAAACAGGACTGGATAGCATGCCTGAAGCCAAAGCTAGATTCTTACCATGTTTCCCCTAAGAATAAGAAATAAGACCTAACTGGAAACTAAGCCCTAGCAGGATTTTTCAGGATGCTCGTAATATAAGCCCTACCCCAAAAATAAGCCCCAGTTAAGATCGTCAGCCAGACAGATGGGGAAACACAGTAGTACATCTGTTGCAACACACAATAGACATATTGAATTATAAAATAATAATGTTAATATATAATTAAATAAAAATAATATTATTGACATTAATACTTAAAATAAATGATAATATACATTATAATTAAGTATTTGTAAATACTGCAGCGGGTGCCTTTGGATGAGAGGTAAATGCCTATGTAAACAGATCAACGCCAGACTTATTGTTGAATGACCAATCAGAGTAGACACAACACACGAATAATGTCAATATGTCATGTGTTGCAATGGACATACTTAATGCATGGTGCAAAATGCAAGATGGGTACAAAAAGAAAGAGCTATCCAGTCGAGCACAAGAAGGGAATCGTGGAGGACTCTTGGGACAAGAATCGTACGGCTTTCGTAAGAAAAAATAAGACATCACCTGAAACTAAGCCCTAATGCATCTTGTGGAGCAAAAATTAATATACGTAAGATCCAGTCTTATTTTCAGGGAAACATGGTAATAACTTGGATGATTTACTAGTCACTGGCAGCTGCTCTCATAGCAAGCTGCTTATAATAGCTTGAAACACATTGTACCATATTTACATTGGCCATGCAAACAATATGGTGGCTGTCATCCTAGACTCACATGCCTGGGATTAAGTCCAATTAAGCTCAGTGGGGTTACTTTTGGACAGACATGCACAGCATTGCATCGCCAGTATCGGTATGTGATGCACAGCGCCATCAAAGCTAGTTAAAGCTGTCTGAACAACCACAATGGTCTGCTCATTCTGGCAGAAGGATGCACAAAACATACGTTTTTCAGCCAGAAATACAGTCCACTAGTGCTGAACAATGTATCATCAGTACTAACTGAAGAATTAAGTCCATATTACAAATCACCGACTTGATCCTCTTGATCTTTCCAGAATATATTAATCTGCTTGAAGGAACAATCTACTCCAATCATTTCTTCTTCAGTAATCACCTTTTTAATATGTGTTTTTCAGACTTCATAGAGCAATGAGGTATTTTACAGTTACTTAAAGATGCCTCAAGCCTCCAACAATTTTCTAAGTTGCAAACATACCTAGGTTGCCATTATCTAGAGGGAATCGTACTTCCTTATACATTTTAAAACATGTTGTCCTACCTTACCACTGATATGCCTTTGGGGAAGTTTAATATAATTCAACATAAAATACAAGCAATCTAGTTTATTGTCATTAAAACCCCATTATAATACATTTTTCATCATATGCTTAAAGGGAATAAATTTTCTCTTGGAGCCTGAAATAATCAAGCTGATGCCACTAGGAAGGCCAGAGAAGGCCACAAAAAGGAGCCCTACCCTTAGATACCATCTGTTTTATTCAGTGCTTTTTTTTGTAAAAAAAAAAGGTGCCAGAACTCATGTCGCCGCCGGCAGTAAGCACTCAGCACGCGACCACACACACCAATCCCAAGCCGAGCAGCGGAGCAGCGTCCCAAGCCGAGCAGGCCCTCACTATCTCACTATCAGATAGCAGACACAAAAGCAGCCGGCAGGCACTATGTTAATGATGTTTGCTGCTGATCTGCTACACCATTCAAAATCACTTCGTAAAATCCACTGGAAAAAAAGGTGCCGGAACACTGTTCCGGTGTGTTCTATGACAAAAAAAAGCCCTTGTTTTATCTCTGCAAGCAGAAGAACCCAGTGCTAAGGGGCTGATTCTAAGGAGCAAGCTATAGTTTAAAAAGAATTTTTCCCATTTGTAAGTCCAGGAATCATAAAAGAAGGAGATACATATTTATTGCAGACAAGTTGCTACAGAACACAAAGGATGCAGTGTAGGAAGCAAATTATTAAGGAACCAGAATGGACTTTAGAAGGGATGTTACTAACATACAGTAGCCATGTCTACCAAACAGGAAAAGCCAGTGAGATGAGCTCATGCATCTCAGTCTTGTGGATAACATTTCTTTTTTAGATGTTTGTGCAAATTCCATTAGTGATAACTTCCATGCATTTTAGGAACATAAAAGCTGGATTTCTCTAAGCAAGAATTCTAACACTGAGCCATATTTCCCTGTGGGAAAAAGAGGGAAAAACAATTAAGACCTGTTGCTTTTCAAGTTGCAGATACGAACAAATTTAATGAAGGGGAATATTGGGTTTCAATGTTTTCTTTTATCTGTTTTGCTGATAAAGAAAGAATTCTTTCTTAAACATATACCAAAATGCTCAGGTCTTTCATCTGCAGAACAAAATTCATGAGTTCCTTGACCGTGCATGTCACATGGTAATGAAACAGCATAAATCAGTCCTATTAAAAGATGAAGTTTGTTCATCTTAGTGCTGAGGAGCCATTCTCCCCTTCCTAACAAAACTAAGTGGTTCATGAGTCATGATTATATATTAGGTACAGAACAGATTGCAGTGATGCAAAAAACAAAAAATTAACAGATGTCAATCTGACACCCAAAAGGAACGAATACACATATGGATTTCAGGTGAGGGCAAAAAATAGAAAGGGTTACCACAGGTTTACATTGAAATGGTTCTCTAATATTTCAGGGGCTGCACTGGTCATTCAGAGCTGGCATGGAGAAATGTGTCAAATGTCAGACTTCTAATTTGTATCCTTCATTTTACTTTGCATGTATAATGGTAAGGAGAAGGAAGCCTCTAAACTGACCATGTGTCTATACGCTTTTTGTTCCTAAAAGGATCACCTTTGTGTCATGCTGCTCCCATGATGGCATGTCTTCCATCTTCGTTTTCACTTGAGGAGGAAACGTACCTCCTTTACACAGTTTTCTTTTCTGGGGTTTGCATTTCTCTGCCTTTCTATATATTCTATTAACAGAGCTCCTGTCAAGTTGTCTCTAACTTATTGGGAGCCTTTGAACCTGAAGTCATGATTTTTGTTTTCTTAATATGTGGCTGCAGTTCTGCTTTTGTATTTAATTCTTTCACTTCCATCAGGAATCATTTCAAGTTATTGCTGCTTTCTATCAGTATATAGTATCTACCCATAGTATGGTATCACTTTCCTGAGACTTTTTGTAATAGGACAGGATAGAAAAACTTTAAATAAATAAATCTGCATATGTTAAATTAGTAGTATGTGTTCTCCCAATGTTCATTCTTTCCTCATCTTTCCTTATGTTCTGTGAACACATTGAGCAGACAAGAGAGATAAAATACACAATTTTCTGATGCCTTTGTCTATGGGAAACCATTCTGTTTCTCCATGTCCTGTTCTGACAGTAGCTTTTTGTCCATGATGCAGGTTAAGCATCAGGAGAGTTAAGTGTTGTGGACCCCCATGTCTTTCAGAACCACCCACAGCTTTTCATGACTCACACCATTAAAGGCTTTGCTATAGTCTCTAAAGACTGGTCTTCTTTTGACATTCTTTGGTGCGCTCCAGAAACCAATGTATATTTACAATATGATCTCATGTGCCTCTTCCTTTTCAGAATCCAGCTTGAACATTTCTCGTTCCATACAGGGTGATATTTTTTTGATGATGCACCTTGGGCATCACTTTGCTTAGGTGAGGAATTTGCACAATGGTCCTATGGTTGCTGCACTCTTTTGCATCTCCTTTTTAGGAGATTGGAATGTATATTAAATGCTTCCAACCTGTAGGACATTGTTTTGTTTTCCATATTTGCTGCCATATTATTGTTGGCATTTGGGGCAATTCAGTCTCTGCAGCTTCTATTGGTATCCTATCTCTTCTGGGTGCTTTGCCCTCAGAGAAGTGTTTTCTAATAATGCAGGCTGTTCATAGAATTCCTCTTTGAAGGAGCTATAATCCTTTCATCTCTTCTGCATAATTCTTCCATATATTTTTCCATCTTCTCTTTGTATCCTCCTGGTCATATAGTGTATCTTCTCTGTTTGTCTTTGCATTCAGGATGCATTTTGGATTCCAACCCTATTTCTACCACCTTTTGCTTTACTTCTTGCCTGTCCTTAGCAAAGAAAGAAATCTTGGGTAAGTTGGAAAAATAAGACCCCGACCAGCTTTTTCTAAGAACTTTGAAAGGTGCAGCATCATAAGGAATTCTTCAGAGGGTCTAAGAAGCTGCTTTTCTTTGTGCTTAACTGGGACATTTTAAGAGATTGTTGCCCCCCACCCAAAGAGATTGCAAAATCTCTTTATTTCAAAAAAAATATTTATTATTTTCCCAGTGTCTCGGGATGGCATAAAACTATATACAGACTATTGGAGTGGACAGAATTTTTTTTTAAGTACCAGCACTTGAAGCAACCCACTGGTTAAACCAGGCCTCTGGGGTTAAAACATCCACTTTTAGTCCTCTTAACCTCACTGCTACATTTGTAATTGGGAGTTCTGGGCTCTAGATGCTATGGAGATACAGTTCATAAAAATGTTTGCAATCACCACAGCAACTCAAATAGTTTCTCCCAAATTGTAGGAGGAGGAGGAGGAAGAGAGGATTAAAAAGAAACAGAAAGGAATACTGCTTTGACTTAGCAGGGCAACTATGCAGGAAAGAAGAGGGAAAGAAAGTATTATGGGGCACAGGAAGGGAGGCAAGCAGTATATTAGATTATTAGAGTATCTTCACTGCCATCTTTTTGGAACAGCACATGACCTAGTTTGGAAGAGTCTACACAGAAACATGCCCAATTTGGATGCCATAGCAGAATTCATGAGTTAAACAAACAATACAAAAATTGTAGGAGTAAGTGCAGCACACAGTCCATGTGCTCAGGATTTCCACTTTTTATTAATAGCTCTGGAACCTGGATGCCTGGGTTGTTTCATGACGTGCAAATCCAGAAACTTAGGTTATTTATGCATTGATCCGCCCAGAGTTAAACTAGCAACAAAACATGGGCAATTGTTTAACCTATAAACAATCCAGATTTCTGGGTGTCTGTGTCACGATGCAGGAGTGTTCCTTGGGTATAATGAACAGTGGAACAAATGAGTGGAAAACTTTCATCTCTGTTTGTCTCTGTAATTCCTGGGTTAAATAATCTAGGAATTGCTCCTGAGAAGAACCTTTAAAATTTGCAGAGTGGCAAAGAAGCCTGGATTTGCAAACAGACTTCTGGTAGAAGTGAAAAAACAACTGAAATAATCTATAGAAGTATATACAGGTGAGTTTTAAGAATTTCTGTGAAATGCCTGTTTGCAATACATGGACTTCTTGGGAAGAAAGCAACTGAGAGCATGTGGTTATCATCAAGAGAACGGCCCATGAATGAAGAGCTTAAGTTTGCCTTTCTCCCCTTTTGTTTACCCTGAATGGAGCCTCTTGTGGCAAATTAAAAATATTTTCTAGACACTCCATTTGACTTCTGTCTGTGTCTACTTTAGTCCTGAAAGGCTTCATGTGCATGGGCCTAGTCCTAGGAAGAACAAAGCACTGGGGTAGGCCTGTCTTCTCCCTCTTACTGTATCACAATGCCTAGTAGGCTGCACTGGTTTCTAGATTATACACTCGTGATAAAAAGAGCATAGGAGCTTTTCTATATGAGGCTGCTAATCTGCCATATTGAAGTTCATTTTCATTGCAGAACACAAGAATTCCTTTGCTACTTTTCCACAACATAACCACTAGGTGGGACTATGGCATAATAGAATAGTAAATAAAGAGTAAAACTTGTTTGACATTTACAATTAATTTAATTCACCTTTACAGTTAAATACTGCATAGTCATTGCTCTAAGAACACCTTCATTAGAAGTACTCTTTGGACACAGAACTGAAATGGAAAGTTCATGACACTAAAGAACCAAAACCAAACCAAACCAAACCAAACCCATGAATCAGGAATGACAAGCACATGATAAACGCCTTGGGCAGAAAATTCTGATGTCAGTAATTCATATCCATATCTGTGTCTTTTAAATATCTGCAAGGGATTCTAAGTTTACATCTTGAAATAAGTTCATTTATGTTCATATTCAGGTCTCTTTTAAACATGTATCTGTCATATCGGAGTCTATTTTATCCCTGCAGGTATGAGACCAAATAAGAGAATTAGTTTCAACTTCACATTCCCATATATTGTGCATATATAGCACTCAAGAAAACAAAGGTACTCTTGTCTTGTAACTGTTTTAGTCTACTCACTTGAACAAAGGAGTTCCACAAACAACACATTTGTATATTCCATGAGCTTTGTGGTAGGTGTATTCTCCTTCAAAGGCACTAGAGAGACAAAACAACCACAAAACAATGTTTTTACAATTAAGGTACTTGACTGTGTTTATCTTGGAATGGTTTAATAAATTCAAGCAGTTTTGGCTGCAATAATTAGCACTCCAAATTTATACACTTTTGCTCTTTATTTAACAGATAAAATAAGAATAGGCACATTAAAACCTGCAGTCTCGTGAATCAGAAAAAAGCAACTGTTCAAATGTCAAAGCACAGTTTCAATTATAAGACTACAACTACAAGTCCCCAATCTGGCACTGTCCAGATGTGGTGGCCTGCCTCCCCTACTGGGAATGGTGGGAGCTGTGGCCCAACATGTCTGGAGGGCTGGGAAAGGCTGAATTAGGCACTTTCCCTTCAGTCCTTTTAATGTGTACCTATCATTTTAAAATACATTTTTATCCTAAGAATCTTTCTAACAACTTTTCCACACCTTCTTTTGTAGTGTTTATTAAACATAAAGCACTAATATTAAACATAAAGCATGAATGCAAGATCCTTTGGAAGACAAGACATACAAGTATGTTCAAGAACCAAAAGAATCAAACTGAAACTGGAGGGAAAAGCCCACATTTCAAGCTGTGTGAGCTCTATACTTTTATTTGAAAAGGAATATTACTGCTTTAAGGGAATATTTTTCTAAGTTAACAATCTTAAAGGCTAGGAGGTCATTCATCTAATACAAATCAGCTGTGCTACTCTAACAAAAAGTCTATGTGCTCTGCAGCTTGTTTTTATTATCCTCTCACCCTTTTTATGGGGTCCAATATTTTTTTATAAGCAGGGTTTTTAAAAAATGACCTAATCTCTGGTTGTTTGTGTGCACTAAATCATTTCACTAATCTTGTACACAACAGTAAATGACTTTGCTGGATGGCCTCCTGAGCTGGATGGAGCACCAGCCAACTGTTGTGGGAACACAGACCTTGCAGAGTCAGTTATACCAACTCAGAAAGTCTAGTAAATAGGAGACTCCAACAGGAAGAGGGCTGGCAATCAACTAGGACCCCACATGTGGCCAAAGGACCTTTTGGAGTGTGAAATGGAAACAAGGTTGCATCATTAATGCTATTGGATCAGAAGCAGGCTAACGCCTGGTTCCACCCTCCATGGTTGGAACAAGGAGCCAAAGTGGTCAGACCTTGGCAAAAATGCTTACTCTTCATGCTAGAATCAGCTGAGAGAAGTTATATTCACTGTGCAAGCTTTCTCCACACCCTCCTCCAGGGTTTGGGGCTTGCTTCCAAGGACTAAAGCCATGCGAGGGCAGTTATTGAAAATATTTGACATTCCAGCCACAAATGAGCCAATAAATACTTTCTCCACATGTGCTTCAAAAAAGAAACGAGGGTGGACTGGAAATGAACGAAATTGAACTACCGTCTCTTTCTTTTCCCCCAGCCGAAATGTCTATGTGTACAATGACCACCTTGAAAATTCCAGCCTTAATGGCACAAGGCTATTTCCCTTAGGGCTTTGCTTACCCAGGTATCTTCCCCAAAAACAATGAAAGACTTTCTCTTAACTACCAATACTTCCACAGTTTTTGTAGCAAACTGAAAACAGCCCTTAAACATAAGCCAAGAGACAGAATAGCGTTCATTTTATATTTATGAAAATTCCTGTCTGCTTTGTGGTGTTAATTTGCGTAGGTCAGTAAACAAGAAACCAGGATAGAATTCCTCAAAATCACCAAGCTGAAGACATAAAATAGCAGCACAGCAAAAGAAAAATGGCAACTATTTCCAATTAAGGGTATCTCTCTCATCACATCTTACCTTTCAGTCCCTTTCTCCTGAGTAACATGGTATTGCAAGGGTGTCAGCCGCTTCCTCAGTTCTTGCTGGGAAAAGACCACCTTACAATTCTTTTTATCCCTACATGACCCTGCAAAGGGAGAGGATACAGGAGAAGGAATCCTTTTACTTCAAATCCTGGACAACTGCTTTGGCTGCCAGCCAAAACACAGCTTCTGCATTCACTTTTCCAATGACCAGATTGGATCCTAATGTATTAGTGAGACTCAGGCGATTGCTTCTTCAAACTCAGCTTTAAAACGTCTGCTATACACAAGGCAGGAGACTCTAGCAAGGAGTGATAATGTGATACAGCCAAAGCCTGCTCTATGCAGAAAAGTTGCAACCACTGGCAGGACTGTACATTTACAAGAAGGTGCCATCCTGACCCTAAACATGTTTGATGACTTCCCACTAAAGATGCATTTGAGCAAAGCCTTGATATTGACAAGACATCTATATTGCAGATTAAAGGTAATGGGCATATTATGGTTAACCCCAAGTTGGAGCAACTTGAAAATCTTGCAGTTAGTTTCTATGAATTGACAAGAAAACTTCCTTAAAACAACAACAAAACAGAACAAAATTACAACACCTTTATTTAAAATACTAACTGCCATGAATGTCCTCAACCCTGTGGCAGACCACAGTTCAGTACAGGCAATTGCAAAGCAAAGCTTTCTGCCTCACAGTGCAACAAGGAGATGGTTGGGACTTCTGAAGGCATTACAGAATATTTCATGTGTATGAGGTCACAAGCTTCCTGGTACTGGAGCCCATGGGTGGGCGGCATGAAAGGGTGTTCTTCTGTAAAGCCTCAAGAGATACTTGTGAGTATTTGGCTATGGAGGCATATTCAAGCAGCTCCCTTTTGTGGTGCCTTGCTATAGAAAGTATTTTGACCAGCTGTTCTATTCTCCAAACTAGCTTTTGGACTTCCTTTTTGAAAAATTAGGTGCAATAGGAGTACTCAGTCTGGTGACTTCAATAAGATAATGCATGCATGTGAAAACTACTAGTAAAAGTCCTTAAAGCTGGGAACTACTGTAACTTGCTTAGTCTGAAACACTTTTAAGAGCTCTAAACAGAGCACTTTGAAGGATTAATGGCTGCTGTAAAGATAAATGCATTGCATTGGTAACTTTGTCAACCTATCTCTGTTAAAATCTGCTACAAAACAGACACACTTTAATCTGACTTTGTCTGTGATCTAAATGAATTCCTAATCATTCTACTTTGGGACCATTTGAAACACTTTTTAATATACAACTCCTGGAAAATACATACAGTTAAAGAACTGAACTCTGAAACCTAAATTTTGAAATTAAAATATGTGGCATTTTAAGGAATGATGTGCTGCTGATAAGAAACTGATAAGCCTTCCCTCATGATCAGATTACATATTTGTAAATCTCCAAGTGCAAAGCAAGTTATGTGGAGTCTGCCAATTGACCATTGTTTCTTCTGTCTTGGGTAGATCCAAAATCATGACATATAGAATTGGAAAGTGCTACCAAGTATTAAGAAAAAAAAATCTAATCCAATGGACACAATTAAGCCACAATCCAATGGACACTTTCCTAGGAGGAAGCCCCATTAAACAAAGTTGGGTTTACTTTTCATACATCCAAATGCACTGAAAGTGGTCTTGATCTTATAATTAATGTATTGACCTATGAATTATTACAGCATGAACTAGCATGGTTAATTGACTGTTTTTCTATAGTGCTAAAAGCTATCCTCTGCTGCTTGAAGGGCTGAGGTTGTGACCCTGTGTCTATTTACCTGGGAGTAAATCCAGTTGAATTCAGTAAACCTTACTTTGGAGTACATATGCATAGAATTCTGCTGAAATAGACTCTACGTATCATTGTTTTGGCTGAGAAATGTTTACTGTTGCAATTTGTTAGAAATTCTCATTTGTGATTTATGATATTTTATGGGGCAGGGTGTACCTAGCAATATAAAAGCAGCAACTGTTAGTATAGAGAAATGAAAAAAATATTTTAAGTAGTATTAATATTGAAAAATGAAAAACCACTATTACTGTTGACATTTTAATTGGACTTTGCTTTTCGTTGGAGATTATTACACCACTTTCAATGTTGTTAATAAAATGGCTCTAAGAGATCTATAACAGGACCCAAGCTACACATTACTTTGAAGATGTAATTGCTTGCTATACATTTCTTACTCTACGAGAAGTGCAAAGCGGCTGATCAAGCTTGTAACCTTAGTATGAGTACGACCTTTGCCTCCAGCTGTGGTCCCATTCTCAATCAGGCACTTAGCATATATTGCCAAAAAGTGGTTTATTAAAACAAATGGATAATAATGAAAACTGGAGTCCTCCATTTTACCTCTTGCTGGCAGGAGCACGGCAAGACAACAGGAATATCAGAAGCCTTTTACACTTTGATGAAGACTGCGTCTTATGTTACTTGGGCCTCTTGAGTCCATCCAACTCCCCTTGCTAAGGATAGGGACAGGAACTGTGAGGGCTTTGGATCAAGCAGATCTATGGCTTCTCCCCACACTGTCCACTGGTCCACCAAAACATACTCATTTCTTCCGCTTCTGAAGTTGCAGCATCAGCCTTGTGAGCTGGCGCCACCACTGACCTTTCTATGGCAGCTGGAAGTGTTTAGGGCACAAAGAGCCACATTTGAATCTTCTTCTCCAAGGCTGGTTCGCAGCAGCATCATATGGCTGACTAGACATGTCTAGGAGCAACAAGAATGCCTTCTCAGGGTGTTTTAAAATCTGCTAGCTAAGAGAAGGGGGGCATGTGTTATATTCTTTAAAGGAGCATAACTTCTATTTTCTATTTCTAAGCACAATGAAAGGCTTAAAAGAATGGAAACCTGCAATAAGGAACATCTTTCATTATGCTCCATTAACTTGAGGCTAAAAAAGGAAAAAAGATTATAAAACTTGGAGAATGAACCAATTGCTAGCTGATATTGCTAAAAATGAATCGTGACATCAAGCATTTCTTTCAAATTAATGTAATCCTTGAGTAGCATATTTATACAGTACAGGAAGCTTTTAAAAGTAAGCACAAGAGAAAGTTTGATATAAATCTAAACTTCTAAAAATCTTAAAAAATTAAATGAGGAGCAGCATTATAGCTAAGATCAAAGGACTGGAATGCAGACATTTAAAGTCCCTAAAGAAAAGAGTTTGATAGCTTTAAAGCTATATTATGAAGAAATGAATTTATCAGGGATAGGCAAAATTAATAAATCTTTAGTGTACTCAAAAGAAAAATACTTTGATCTTGTAAACATGTCTGGAAAATTTCTTCCTTTAAAAGTTAAGCAGTTGAAAGAAATTCTTTCTATTCAAACTCAAAGTGGGATTAAAGTAGAAGAGGTGGCATCAGTAAAGATAATTAATCCAAACTGTATGCCTCAAGAAACCTAACAAAGAAGCAAACAGAATATTCTTAAGTAAAAATACCCCAATAGTAAAATTATTTGGCATTGATAAGCACCTTTTGATGCTACATAGGTAAAGATATAATGAATAAAAATGGATTATCTGCAGCATTCTATTTAAATTTAAAGTTGAATTTGTTATTTTACTAATGTATTTGATCAGTTAAATACTCAACAGTAAAAGCATTGCAGAAGGTTGAATGTAAACATGGATTACATGGATTCCAAAGAAGGGAAAGTGCCCTGCAAAGTAAGATCTAATTATCCTAACACTTTGCTAAATCAAGACAATTAATGGTGCAGTTCTATAGCTTCCTGACATTGCCTTGGTGCAGAGAGAAGGTGCCACAGGATTCTTCAGTGTCTAATCTCTGAGGTCCTTCCATTTCAGGGCTGGGTCTCTATGCTCCCTATCCCTCACAGAAAAGAATGTCAGCTGCATTGCTGAGGTCAGAAACTGTATAAACCTCAGGAAGCTTGAGGGTCATGTTGGGGGCTTGGATATGGCTGGTACCTGTGGCTTATCCCCAATTTAAATGATGTCCTTCCTTCCTTCTCCCTTTGAGGTTCTTCATCTAGATGGCCTAAGACAGTTGACTAGATGAACGACAGAGAGTGAGGTGTGGGGTGGCAGAAATCACATTGGATACAAATAAGCCTCCACCTTCATCTGTATGAATTTGCTCTAAAACATTCAGCTAAAAGACTGAACACATATATTATCAGAGAAATACACTGAATGATAATATTTGAAAATTACTCACGTTAATATACAAAGGGAGTGATGGGCAACAAACAGGGTTTTTTTTAATCCTTTCTTACCATTGAGAAGGCATTTGATAGAGTTGAGAAGAAATACTGGATGGAGTTAACTAACCAAAATATTTGCAATAAAACAAAACCTAAATGTATCTTTATCAGTGTGGGTGAATTATATTATCAGTGTGTGCATTATTATATTATCAGTGTGTGCATTGGCAATTTCCCAGCAAGAAAGTTTCATGCAATGTGATTCCAACTATATTGGTTCTTTTAAAAGAAAGCAGACATACAAGTCTTGTCATAGTAGTCAATTTTAGTGCAAACAAAAGTGTGTTGTATACAATTAAGATATAGTCATGGAAATGTGCTGGTGAAACAGAAGGCTGAATCCTTCCTGGGGCTGTGCAAAACAAGAAAATCTGTCTTGTTCTTGGCCTGTTGATTCTTTCTCTACAGAGCAACAGTTTGCTCTACTAAAAACTGATAGCCAAGCTTTCCATCAGATGATTTTAATCCTGTTTCTTGGAAGTTTTAGCTAAGAATCTTAGCTTTAAAAAGAGATCAAGATGATCTGTACTGCATGTTATTTGGTGGATATAAAGTTCCCCATCCAACTATTCTTTTTCTAGGGTGCTTTTGTGGCCTGGACATGTTTTGGTTTATAGGGGAAAAAACTGTAAAAGATGATGAAATTTTAAGAAGTTTTACATTAGGGACTTTGTGACAATATCCTATAAGACCAGCTTGCTAGGGCTACTTATGTGTAAATTACAGTACAGAATATGAGCTGGGGGGGTACCAATTAGTTCACAATGTGGGATGACCAGTACTTGTCTAACAGTGCAAGCCTATACATAGCTAGAAACCAAGTCCCTTTAAGTTCAGAGAG